TGTTGGTCATTTGGCGATCGACAAAATGCTGTCATTAATCGATGCGAGACTCCAGAGGAATATATGCGATGAAGTAATGGAGAGAGAGAGAGAGAGAGAGAATTACCACATCAGTTGATGTCAAATGCTTGAGTGTCAAGATTGCGTTTCCTAATATCTAATGGTATAAAACAAAACATAAGTTTAAAAATAATCACAAAAAAGTAAATACAAAAACTAAATCCAATTCAAACATAATTACAATTTTGTGATCTCTATGTCTATGCATAACATCCAGAAGTTTAGTGATTATCAATCGCTTCACTTTAATATTGAAGTTATGTTTCGCTTCATCCGACTGAACGATATAGAAGAGCGAAGCGATGGCCGCGGGTTGGATGAACTCGTTATCCAAATGTCTGGACATCGATTGCAACACTATTTCGAGCGCTCGGTTCACGTCATGGAAGTTAGTCTATAAACCAAACAACAAAATAAGTTATTCATTGCTATTTCAGACTCCAATCGTACTTCAAGATGGAAACAGTTGAACAGATCATTGAGTGTACGCTCCAAGAACTCGACTCTATCGATTATTTGCGCTAAAGTCTTGAGCAGAAAGTGAAGGAAGTGGTGCACAAAGCGTTTTGGGATATATTGGAGTCACAGCTGAATGAGTCGCCAACTAATTACAAACAGGCGATGGCTTTACTCAAAGAGATTAAAGAGAACTTATTGTCACTCCTTTTGCCACAACACACACGCCTTCAGCAGGAGATCGAAGAGATACTTGATTTGGATCTAATCCTACAACAGGCCGATAACGGGATACTAGACTTTCAACGGTACGCGCAGTACATACTGTCCGTATGCGCCCGACTCTGCGCTCCCGTCAGGGATGAGAAGATTCGTGAGTTGACCCAAACCGATGATGTCGTCCCACTCTTCAGGTATATGTCATATAAATTAAAGTTATAATGGATTTGAATGAATGGTTTGTTTGTATACTTTTGCAGAGGGATTATGGAACTGCTGGATGTGATGAAGTTAGATATGGCTAACTTTCATATACAACAGATGCGACCACACATTCAACTCAAATCCATTGAATACGAGCGCAAAAAGTTTAAGGAGTTTCTCGACAGTCAATCAAGTAATCAATTGTTGTGTTTTGTTTCGCTCTGTTTGTTGTGTTTTAATTTGTATCGCATTTGTCATTATGTTGTCAGAGCTGTCAGCAGTCGATGGACTCGAATACACAAAGACATGGCTTAAGAGGAACTACGAGTCGATTGACGTGTCCAACGAAACCAATTGCAAAATCATTACGAATAAGATTCTGGTGAACGCATACTTAGAGCTATTGGTTTGGGATAATGGCGNAGCAGTCGATGGACTCGAGTACACAAAGACATGGCTTAAGAGGAACTACGAGTCGATTGACGTGTCCAACGAAACCAATTGCAAAATCATTACGAATAAGATTCTGGTGAACGCATACTTAGAGCTATTGGTTTGGGATAATGGCGTACAAGAGCTCTATCCGGAGACCCTCCTGTTGGACGCGACCAGAATCGGCGACATTAGAGCTAAAGTTTTAAAACTGACTCTCATTGGTAGTGTCTTTCTGGTGACGTTCGCCACCGCCGGGCCGTCAGTACAGGGACTCCAAGAGTTTAAAGACAAACTAAAAGAGCATTTAATGGTTTTGGTGTCCGACAAATGCGGCGATCATTCGCCCGAAGAGCTGAAGAGTGTTATGACTTCAGTCTCACTGCAAGTGAAACAAGAGTTGAAGCGATGCGCCGAAGAGCACGGGTTCGCACAATTGGACGCATCGAAAGCGCAATCGTTGGAGACACAGATTGTTGAGATCAGCTCCGGTGACAATCGGTTACGGAAAGTGGTTGAGAGACGTATACTGGAGTTTATTGAACGGGTGTTGAGTTCGCCGACCGCACAGCCGATGCAAATACCCTCCGGTCTGTCGGCAGTGCAACAAGAGTTGGCCCAAATCGCCGGCCAATTCATGCGTATCGTTGGCCACAATCGGGCGGTGTTTAGCCAATACTACGCCGACATTATCACCGAATTGGTGCCCGATTTGACCGCCTGTGAGACCCAGTCTATTGAGAGAGATCTCACTACTGCTCCCATCAAAAGTCTAATCAATAACTGAATCAATGAAAATGCAATTATTTTGTCGATTCTTATACACTATTTCTGTCTCTCTATTCTCTATACACAGTACCGTATATACTCTCATAAAAACACCGGTAATATTATGTGAAATCCAGTAAAAATGAGATTTTTCAAAACAGGGGTAATGTTACCTAGATAAGATTACCCCCCATTACTAAAACTCACATATTGTTACCGGTAACGCTATGTGAAATTCAATTGAAGGGTATTTATTCATTCAAATAGCAAATGTCCGGCCAATTCATGCGTATCGTTGGCCACAATCGGGCGGTGTTTAGCCAATACTACGCCGACATTATCACCGAATTGGTGCCCGATTTGACCGCCTGTGAGACCCAGTCTATTGAGAGAGATCTCACCACTGCTCCCATCAAAAGTCTAATCAATAACTGAATCAATGAAAATGCAATTATTTTGTCGATTCTTATATTACACTATTTCTGTCTCTCTATTCTCTATACACAGTATATATCTATTAAAACAGAGTTTAATATAATTTCAATATTTTTTGATTTATTTAATTCCTAAGAATATATTGTAAAATATGTTGTGAATCGAGTATTAATACAATCGATATGTTAATTATGATATATGTGTTTAAAATAGTGTCAATTATTAATTACATTCGCATACAATCGACAATTGTTTGCGAATATATTGTAACTATATTTTAGATAATACTATGTATTGATATTAATTATTATTCATTTGAATGATTATATGACTGAAAATAAATACAATTATATTAATTGAATTTTATAGTTCTGTTAATTATAGAAATGTAAAATATTTGCATAATTTTAAGCAATTATATGTTTTGTGAAATCGTTGTAATTAATGAACAATTGGTTAAAAGCGGTTATTCTGCGGTCATCTCAACCTCAGAGACGTCGAGGTATTCATCACTTGAAACGCTTTGTGTCTTAGACTTAACTACAACTCAAAACTTGATTTATAAACTTTTTTATAATTTATTTGACGAAAAAATACGTGATTTTTGTTTGCATTTTCTGTTAAATCCCTAAAAAACAAAACGACACACAATTTGAATATAATTGTTGTGTTCATTGAATTGTGTTTTCATTCAATTGCATTCATAGGCATCACATCCGCGGTTACCGATCAACACATCCACGAAGACATATTGATGGCAACGATAAGCGACAGCGCATTAGCGGCCAAACGCGGCGCCCAATTGTGGGACAACAGTCCCGACTCTCTATTACATACTTGTGTCCGATATGTGCTCAGAGAGGGCTTACGGCCCATGTCTTTGCCGCGAGAGATCTGTGATCTACTCATTCATGTCTATCGCGAGACACATATGAATGACAGCGAACTCATGACCGACTCGTTGTCAAAGTTTTTGTCCCAATTTCGGGCCAATAATAGCCGCGTATGTTTGGCCAACTTTGCCGACCTGTCCATCAATGACGAGACACTGGTATCGTTTCTTAAAGAGCACTCGAAGTCCATCACATACTTGGATGTGTCCAACTGTCGGCAGCTGACGAGTCGGGCCCTAACGCTCATCAATACAGCGCTGACCCGTGTTGTAGACCCGTGTCATCCGTCGCCCCTCCGGACACTCATTATTGGCCGCTCAGCGCATATACTGTCCGACTTTGAGGTAATTTTGTTCGCCATTTGAACGTTAGTTTGAATTATAATTAATGGTAAATACAATTGTTTTCCAGAAGTTGTCATCCAATAGTTATCTCATTAACTCATTGCTAGCAATACGTAAACTAGTGATACACGAGTGGAACCCAATCGACGCGTCCGCCCCTTATCTCAAGTATTTAATTAACTCTGAAATGGAGCACTCATTACAGCACTTGGACTTAAGGTATGCTCGAAGTGGTCTCTCATATGAATTGCTAACAATTTCGGTCTCATAGTAATGGCAGCGCAATCGGTGACGGCTCACCACTGGAACAGTTGCGGTCATTAAAAACATTGATTTTATACAATTGTCCGGAACTACATCTGGCCATCAATAATATTGTAAAGATAACGACTTTACGGTAACTCTTTTGTCCACTTCGGGACAGTTTTATTAATGGATTATGTTTTGTGAGCAGTTGTCTCGACATCTCAGCGACTGATGACCGCTGCGGACACGTATATGAAGAGCCTAACGAGCAGTTGGCACTTATAGTGAACTCTTTGCCTGAATTGACACGACTGGACATATCGGGCACTAATCTCGCCGGTGATCGTAAGTCATGGCAACCAATGAGTAATACCTTAAAAATAAATGTTTTTTATTTAAACAAAGGCTGCGAATATATCCGGGGATTAGTTTCACGAAACGCAAAACCATTTGACTATTTAGGACTCTTTGATACGGCCAATGAGGCGGCCTATAGGCGCACAATACCCGCCCATTCAGTCAGTGATTATCACTTTTATACCACAATTTGTTAATTAATTTTTTACTTCAATTAATAGGTTTCGGGCGACGCCACTGA